GGGGGGGCTCATTTGCTTTCTTGCAAGCATACAAGGCCACAAGTTCCTCAATGGTGTGCCTTTGGGCCCCTGTGGCACCTTGCAGGCATTGCCTCAGCTTATCAGGTTCCCTCCCCAGCCTCCTCACATGGCTCAGAATACAAACCATCTGGCTTGCAATTTTCCCAGCCCAGAGGTCGTCTTTCCAGTCACTGGTGTTGTGGGAGTGACCATATTTTTGAATGCACTGCTTCAGTTGCCCTGCCAAGATCTCGCCTTTTGAGATATTGAAAAAATCTTTCACCCATGCGGCATTTTGATGTAGGCCTGCTGCACTCACAGCAGTGGTCACCTTTTTGGTGTCGTATTCACCTAATAGAAAAGCTGCAGCGCCCTTGGACTCCACAGCCCTGTCAATGATGCCTTGCAGGGCATCCATATCCACTGGTGGCACAGAAAATCTCCTGGCACCACCCTTGGACATGGCTTTCTTTCAAGCCCTCTGCCCTTAAACACATGGACGCACCTGTAAGCCAAATGCTGCCAGTGCATTTGGCTTTGTTTGAAAATGAACTGCCTGATGTTGATAGATCATGGCTAGGGCATCATGAACTGCCTGATTTTGACATTGATATTGGCCTTGATACTGGTTGTAATATTGGTCTGGATATTGATCATGATATTGGTCGATATTGATCAAAAATATTGATTTTTTTTCAATCCCCAATTTTGAAAAAGATCAATCCTACGATTGAAAAAAATCAAGTTCAATATTATTGAAAATTTTTTCCAATATTGATTTTTTTCAATATCGGATCCTCAGGGTTGCGTATCGCCGACGTGTTGCCATGGTCGGGGTCTGGGAGAAGGGCGTCGGAATGGAGATGTAACAACCATGGCGGGCTTGATCGGCAACAGCCTGATCGGCTTGATCGGCCTGATCGGCCTGATCGGCTGGATCGGGCTGATCGGCTTGATCGGCCTGATCGGCTTGATCGGCTTGATCGGCTTGATCGGCCTGGTCGGCTTGATCGGCTTGGTCGGCGAGATCGGCCTGATCGGCCGGATCGGCTTGATCGGCTTGATCGACCTGATCGGCCTGATCGGCCTGATCGGCTTGATCGGCTTGATCGGCTTGACCGGCCTGAGCGGCCAGATCGGCTTGATCGGCCTGGTCGGCTTGATCGGCTGGATCGGCTGGATCGGCCTGATACTGTCTTCTTGAGTCCCCAATGACGCTGTGTCCATTCAGCGGCGTCATTGCGACCATTTAGCGTTGTCATTGCGACCATTTAGCGGCTACGTTGTTTTCTTCGCTTACATTACTTATATAAATGCGCCTGCTGCATGGCCACTAAGTGTTGAACATACGGGGCCCCCCCCCCCCCCCCTGGATCAAATCCCCCCTGCGCCGGTTCACGCCGTCATGGACTTCTACCAGGGTTACTTGTGATTGCCTGCTACCTTTCGTTCACCCCCTCCTCTCTCAAGTTCTATTTTTGCTGCTTTTTCGCTTTTGTTGCTTTTGTGCTTCTGCTTCTTTTTTGCTTTTGTTGCTTTTCTGCTTTTTGTGTTTTTGTCTTTCTGCTCTTTGCTTTTGTTGCTTTTCTGCTTTGGCAGCTGTTCTCCTTTCTCTTTTTGTTTTTGTTTTTCCATTTGTTTGCTTGTCCATCTACTTGCTTTTGTGTATTCCTACGTATCACAGCAGTTTGGTGCAGTTAGCCGAGAAACAGCTGTCGTAGCTGGCAAAATCCATTGGAACTGTGCTGGTTTCAAATTGGTTGCAGCGTGGTCGACATTTCACAAAGTCAGTTACGTGGGAAGCAGAGCAGAGAAAGAGCTGTGATGGATGGCAAAGAAGAAACCAAGCAAGGAAGCAAGCAAGCAAGCACGAACTGCTGGTGTGCTACCCCCCCCGCGCCACGAAATCTGCACTTCATCACCGACACCCGCGCCTGCCACGAAATCAATATTTTAAGGTGAGCTGCCCGCGGCAAAAACTTCTAACCAACCAAATATGCATCCTGTGCTAGTTCACAATGCCTCTCGAGTGCAAACCCATGGCACCCCTCCTTTTACATGTTGTCCGGTGCGTTGATTGCTTGGAGGTGGCTTTTTCAATGATCCTTTGGATACGATCTGCAGTGTGGAGTTGGGGGAATTTAGAGAAGCACTGGACGCTGCTGGCCAAAATCTAACTATACCACCTCTTGTGGAATAAACATCTGAAACTTTTGCTCAAGAGTGGTTGTGGCAGTGCGGCCTACAAGATTTAGGTTGGAGACATCCTGTTGGTTGAAGCCTTCTTGGAGTTCCCGGACCTGCCTGAGGTGCCATTGCTTCAACAGATTTAGATTTGGTCATTCCAAGGTTGCACTCGAAGAGGCATGAGGAGAAATACTGCATGTGCTCAAGTGTCCAGTGTGCTCAGGTTGAAACTGACTTCAGCTTTGTAGCTTTGGTGCCAGAATCCGCACCTCCAAGACATGGAAGACCTGTGGACCAACGGCGAGGTTGGTTGGCGCTGCTCCTTCTCGGCGCAGTCATACTATTTTCATTGCTGACACTGGGCTGCATATTGCATTCTTGCGGGGCATACAAAAGTTTGACAGGCTGTCACGGTCAGCTGCTGAGGTCAGACCCCTGGAGGGAACATGAATTGAGCTGATGAATTTCACACAGAGATGTATACGTATACGTGCATGAATAAGTTTATGAGCCCCCCCAACAAATTGCAACAGTCAGTTGCTGTCAATTTGTGTAGCGAGTTCACAATCCTTGTGCTGAGGGAACTTGGAGAGCTGGTGTTTCTGGGCCTCGCTGCTGTGAGTTGCTGCATCGTGCTGAATGTGGTGCATCGAGAGCTGGCAGCTTGTTTTGTTTTGCTGGCTGGCTGTATGAGGCTGACGCAACGAATGTAAAGGCTTTATCCTAAGGGCATTGGGCATTGCTAGCATTGCCACTCAGTGGCTTCCATCATAGCTTGCAGGGGTAGACAGGACAAGCTGGGCTTGCTTTGACATGCCCAGGGCCTTGCTATGCCAGCTTCCGGCTTGACAATTCTATTTATCCTTGCCAGATCCCGTTGTACAATTCGTTACATAGAGCCCGGGAAACTGTGTGGGAAGACGATTTTCAGCCAAGGTTCTGCAGCGCTTGAATTTGCCAATTTTTCTGACAATTGCTGGAGGTCTTGGAGTTGGTCAGGTGGCTTGACGTTTTTTTAAGGGGGGTAGGCCGCTAGAGGTAGCTAGTAGCTAAAGGTAGCTACTACCTGCTAGGTAGCTAGTACCTTACCTAAGCTACTAGATATGGATGCAGGATAGCTCACGCTTCTTCAAGCAAGCTCCCCCTTTAGGGCGGCGGGGGGAGCTTCCTTGAAGACGCGCTTGCACTATTCATTTCGTTCCTAGATTTTAGGGACACCTAAAGGCTAGAGGTAGCTAGAGGTTGAAGAATCCGCACCGAATCGCATCCTCAGGCCATCAAGGTGAGCGGGTTGGCAAGCGCTTGGGCCAAGCTTGTAGTTTCTGCTGGGCACTATGTTGCAATGGGGCATCCAATCGGAGTACTTGTGGCGCTTTCTTTCATCACTTCTCTACTTTCCAATTTGATGTCACATACGGCAACAGCGGCACTCATGGCCCCAATTGCAATGAAGATATGCACAGCTGAGTCAATGAGCCTTGCCATTTTAGCCGAGTCCGAATCATGCTGATGTGCTTGGTGGTGTGCAAGAGTTCCCAAGGAATCTCAAGACAGCTGCCTTGGTGCTGATGTTTTCTGCCAATACGGCTTTCACTACGCCGTTTGCAACCTCTGCGAACATCATGATCAAAGGCTCCTTGAAGCGGAAGCCTTGTGTCACCTCATTCCTATTTGCACAACAAGCCGTGCAGGAACGTTCCGAATTCATGTGCCAGGCATGGGCCCATATGAGTTTCCGGACTACTTCAAGTTTGGTGCACCTCTGCAGATGCTATGCTTGACTCTTTGCTGCACCTATATAGTGGAGTGGTTGGCCATTCGCATCTGATACATGCGGAATAGTGCTGCAAGCAGGCAAGAATCTCAGACAAACTTGAACTGCAGGTTTGCCATACCAACACTTTGCGCTTTGCAATTTGGCGTGTCAGCACCTCTTGACACCGTTGAAGCTTGAACATTTGCAATAAGCAGCAGCACAGATTCAAGCTAGAAAAGGCAGATGCCAATGCTGTGAGTAGCATACTCGAACTTTCCTTGCCCTCGCCAGTGAGTTGACGTTGCAAGCGATCACTAGCAAACAATGTGCTTCTTTGGTCCAAGGCTTATCATTTACAGACATGACATTTGCGCCTCTTCATTCTTGTCAGTCATTGCGAACTTCCTACCAACCTACTGTACTTGCCCAAAGAGGCAGCCTCATAAAGCCAAAACAGCACTGGCACTATTGACACGCACTTGGGGCTGACTCACAAACACATCCGTGCACAAGTGACGGACACTCGTTTGGCCAGATGCGGCATTACAAAAAGCAAACATGCACACCAACAAACATCGCACACCTACACCCATACGCACACCCACCTACACACACACAACTCTTTACACATCACATGCAAAGCACATACAGCCACAACCACAAAGGGACAGCGATCGAAGGATGTTGGAGGCTCCCTACTGATAAAAACTTGTAGTGCCGTGGAACTTAGCAACGTCGTACTCATACTCATTGAATTCCTCGTGCGGTGAGCTGTGGCCATGGTCAAGACAAAGAAGTCACGCGCGGCAGTAACTCACCGGTCAGCGGATTCCAAAGGGTTGCCGCCCGGCTGGATACGCGCCCGGACCTTAGTGCAAAGTTAAAACTGCAAGGTGCCCAGATCTTTCAATTCTTTTCAACATGTTAACATGTTTCACTCACTGCAATGAGGTGGAGTCAAGGTCGAAACCCGGTGCATACTTCTATGCTCACCCGGCTACAAAGCGAACCCAAACCGAGCATCCAAGTGAAAGGCCGAGTTGTGAAAGCTGTGAAAGTGGAGCTTTGCACCCGTACCGTGGCTGCAATTCCAGGAACAGCCACCGGGACATGACCCACATCTCCTCAAAAAGACCTGCTGGGCCACGACGCCGGAAAACTGACGAAGGCGGCCTGGGCAAGGAAGACATGAACCACCTGCCTTCACCTGGAAAGCTGTGACCGCCAGGACAACTCATGTGCAGCCCATGAAAAGTAAACATGTGCCATGATCTGCCATGCAGGTGTTAGTCCCATGGATGTGGAGGACTTTGAGGCAACTAGTCGCGACAAATCTGCGGTCAATTTCTGCACTTTTTTGAGCAATGGCATCAGTGGATCACCAGGTGTGAGCACAATGAATGCCAGAGTTTGTAGGACCCTGCTGAAAAGGCCGAACGCTTACGTCAAGAAGCAGAGGAGACCTGCAACGGGAAGCTGAGAGTTTTGAAGTTATCAAGTCGCATGAGCCAACGAGGGTTGTGAAGATCATATCAAACGTGCCATTGATCTTTGACATCAACATCTCCGTGTTAAGCTGCTTGCTACACGCAAAACAACGCAAAACATGTCGAGGACTGATCTCTTTAACCCTTATCGTGTGCAAAGGCTGCTGCGTGTCCATATCAAAGAATCCAGGCCTATGACCCCACAGCAGCCCACCAACCTACCCACTCACATGGTCACACAATGACTTATGCAATGCAACGCCTGACGTTCACATCGGACAGCAGCTTCAGAGCTGACCAGCGGACCGGAGGAGGCGGAGGCTGCGGAAGCTGCCCGCCAAGAAATGGTGCGGCAGCAGCGCGCTGCGAAGCGAGCTCTGCTGAAGGAGGTGCAATTTTGCAGACAGATAGGGCAGATACGGCGGGGGCGCGAGAGAGAGAGAGAGAGATAGCGAGAGAGAGATAGCGAGGGAGGGAGGGAGGGAGGGAGGGGAGTTTGCCTTGTGCTTTTTGCCTTAACTTATTTCTCACTTCTGCGTGGCGATTTCAACGAGCTTAACAACTTCGACAATCCTTGTCAACCATACTCACTCTTTCGGACACAGAGCCGCCGGTAATTGTTTTTAAGTCAGCTTGGATTCGACACAACATGCTGCATTGGATGAAGGCAGAGGACAAGAGAGACGAAGGAGGCAGGCTGCAAGAAACATGTTGCAATGAATGGGTGAGCCCCGCGATGCCCAAGGGATACAATAAAGTCTGCGGATTCGATTCAGGTTCGGAGGAGGAAAAAGAACTTGTTTCCAAGGAAGAACTCCAAAAGTGGTGCCTCGTGGCTTTTTCTTATGGTGATTGATTCTTGTGCTCAACATGCGAGAACGGAATTTGAACCCTTGCAGGAAAGAGGATGAGGAAAGGAGAGAGCAAGAGGAGGATGGTGCAAGTGACTGACTTTCGTCAATAATTGCATTACTTGGTAGGTGAACCTACGCCAGCGTATTGTCCAGAAGTTGAGAGCGCTGACGCTTATGTGCAGTCTGGACTTACAGTTTTGCTACATCCGCCGTTACTTGTTTGTCGACTTCTGAGAGTCAGAGTGCACTTCACGCTGTTTGCAGCGCCTCAGACACTTCCGGCCGCGTTACTGACCTTGGGGTTCTTGAAGCCTTTGTCTTATGTGGAGGCTTTCGGCCTCCTGCACCTTTGTGTGCCCACCAAGTCAAACGCTTTTGTCCTTTCACTCGCTACGTTCATCAGCACCAGTTTCTTGAACTCGCTGTCCAATAGCCAGGAGTTAGGAACACAAGTACATGCTCAGAAAGTAGACCAATCAAGTGCCGCAATCTGGCAGAGCTGAGAGGCAGAGGCAGAGCGCCGAAGAAAGGAGGAAGAGGTGCCAACATGTCATAAAGTTGTTGTGCATTAGGGTACGGCCAAGAAGTAGGAATGGGCCTGGGGAAGGAACGGAAAAAGAGAGAAGAGGAAGAAGCAGAACGACGGCAAATCGAAGAGCAGGACTGCATGCACTGGGCTGGGTGCTTGCGATATGTTGGGCAATGTTAATTTATATGTTTCACAGAAAACCCGAGGGGAATGTTGTCCTGGGCTTGATGTTAAAGGAGAGGCGCCGGAAAGAAGCAGAAGAGGAGGAAAGAAGAATAGAAGCAGATTGGAGCCAAGCTTGCTAGGCGTCCCCTTTTCCTGGTCAGAGGGAGTTGCTTTCTCTTCTTCAGCCAAGGAAAAAATTGCCCTTTGGAAAGCTCGAACAGCGATGGCACGGAAGGACAGGCTTTGACATCACTGTTGGTCGTCTTTTGGCTCTATTTGCTAAGACGTGGCTCAGGAGGCCGAGTTTGAGATGGCCATGTCACGCGAAAAGCAGAAGAAGGAGCCTACAAGATCGCCTCAGGGTTCTGCAGGGCACACCAACCGAAGATTTCTTACTAATTTTGCTTAGCAACTTGCTTACTCAGGAGGAATCTGACAAGATTCAGCTTGAGGCACGTCACTCTTTGCCTGATTTGCGTGCCTGAGCTGTTGAACTCACATTTGCAGCCTGTAGCGCAGGCGGAACGGGTGCGACAAGCGTTGTTGGAGCGCAAAAAGCAGGAAGCTGAAGAAGAAACCAAGAAAGCTGAAGCCGAATTGCGCCGGAAGGCAGACTGCTGTGTGTGACAAGAAGATCACTCGTACCCCTGTATATATGTATTTTGTCCGTCACTGCCCATTGGCACGACGATGTCACTGGAATCGGTTTGTCAGCAGGCGGAGGCTGAACGATTGAGACGTGAAGCTGACGCCAAAAATCAAAAGAACCAGCGCATTCTGGAACTGCGCTTTGCTTTGCTTTCTGAGGCTTTAGTTTTTCGTGACATTCTATTTTGAAGAAGTTCACCCGACCAAGTTGCAAGGAGCCATCCGACCAGATTGATGTGCCCTGCTTCGATGTCTTTAAAGGTGGTGATCGGATAGGATCCTCAGCTTGCAGCACTTCTACCCGCCTGTTGGATGCCTTTCACATGTCGATGCCGAGGACGTTTCCGGCTGTCGCCTCCGCAAATGACATGGACAATTGGCAGATGTCCGCCAGTAGACATCCGGGCCAGCCACCACCTCAGGGATGCATTTGGTGCTGTAAATCTGCCAGAGCCATTGAAATTCAATCTGGACAATTGCAGTTTTGTTCATCCATATGCTCTGCTTGTTGGGGTCCTTGTGGCAGGTCATGAAACTGTCTCCCGAAAGCATGCCCAGGCGAGCTGTCCATGTATAGCTCGTGGCTTTGCGGTTTGGATTCAGTTGCCTGCTTTCAGTGAGGTAAATCGCCAGGGCTGCTTCACCTTCATTCAAGATTTGGGTTCAGCTCACGGAACAGTTCTTAACGGACACAAGCTCCTTGCCTGCGTTCAGAACCTGTGACTTCCTTGTGGGACTGTGCAACACTCTGTTCAAGAAATTGTCAGAGCTTCAGGCTTGCCAAAAATATGTCACCGCCTTACTTTATTTTTTTCCGGCCCCGGAACTGATGTGCGGTGATTAACACCTTGCAAGTTGCAAGTAGAATAGGTCTGTATGAATGGCAAACGGTATCGAACGGTCAAGAACAGCAGCCTGTGCCGACTTCGTTGCCATACAGCTCAAGTTCTCTGGTGTCTTCTGAGCGCCTCCTCGAATTGTAGGTGCGGCAGGACATCCGTTGACATTTTCGCGCCTTCGTTTCCTGCGGTATGCTTTTTCGAAACGCATTTGAGCCTTCAGGAAAAGGCCTCATGCCCGGCACAAAGAACGCCTTCGCAGCTCTTGGGGGCAAAAAACTCGGCTTGGATGCTGTCATCTTGCTAATCAACTATTCTGTGACAGTGTTCCCTGTTTCTTATATTCATTCTTCGTTCCTTCCCTTCGTTCCTACCATGTATTACAGAAGCCACCGTTTCTGCACTGAGGCTCTGACTCAGAAGAAGAGGATCGTGCGTACCGTTTGGGGAGAAAGCAGTGCACAAGCCTGTGCAGAGGCACTTGACACTTCTGCAGGAGGAGGTGGCGCCGAAAAAGGAGCCTGAGATGGAGCAGATCTACGAAGCAGCACCTGCAGTGGAGTTCGAAGCGGAGACGAGCAGAGTACAAGATTGATTATCCTCCCTGCAGCAAACATGGAATTGGACAACCCCCTCTTGCTAGAGGAAAATTGTCTTGTTCTTGGGGTCATCGTCCACTTCCATGATTGTTGGAAGGGTATATAACTAGACTGGGGGAGCCGCAAGCTGCACACACACGTGTTGATGTATAGCTACAGGGCTCTAGACACCTTATTTTCGGGCAAGAGAAGGTGCGGTGACGTACAAATGAGCCTGGCAGCCTGGCTACATCGGGCAGAATGCACACCAGTGGCGTGCGATCAAATGAACTTGCCAAGCCAATTGAATAGCGGGCAAGATCTTGTGAATGCAAAACCAGTTGGTGTCCTGTGCAATGAGAGTGCAGGAGCCAAAGAAGAAGGGAAAAAAGAAGGGGAAGGCTGGGACAACACCAAGATGCAGTGGCACAACCACAACACTTTCAGTACTACCCCGACCACAATGTCTATATATTCAAGTCTATCCTCTCGTCTAACCAAGAAGACTTTCCAAAGAAGTTGTGGACATGGCCAGGCAGAGAGTGCCCCTCCTGCAGCCCCAGTGGCCGTCCCGGAAGCACCGCCAGCTGCTCCAGCACCCTGGCTTTGAGCACCGGACTGTGGTGACGTATTGTGACTATCAAAAACTTGTAGGGGGTATCTTAAACCTGCCCTTCTTGAGGCCAAGCTAGCGAAAGCTGAGCCAGTTAAGAAGGAGTGCCGGACAGTGCCGCACTGTCCGTTTGCTTTCATCCCACACTGATGAACTCTTGCATAGGTTCAGAACACGCACGATTCAGAGGAATGAAGAACACCCCACAACCCTGGTGAGCTGTCGTAACATTGAAACAGGAATGTGGATGCTCCAAAGGAAGCAATCTCGGAGCTGTTGATCAATACGTTACATAGCTATGTTTAAAATTTGCATAACTTAACTTGCATTCTGAAGAAAACTCCGGTCTGATCGTCTATAATTGTGCATTGCATTTTCAATTATTTCCAAAGTGCGTTGGCCCGGATCCCGAGCTGGCGCCCTTGGTGTTTGGCATGTTTGGCATGCCGAGTCGCAAGTCCTAGCTTCATTGTGGCTTTCAGTGAGAACTTCGAGGAACGTTCTTGGCTTCAGGTGGCACCTGAGTATGTGGGCATTGGTTGAGCTCAGGTGCTACTACTCAGTTTTGGCGTCTTGCTATTGTCAGGAGCCGGAGACGAAAGAAAAAAAGAAGGAGGGAAAGCCCGCGGTCTCATCGCCTCTCTGTTGCAGAGACACTGGCTTGGGAGTCCGAAGAATCGCTCTTAGGTTGGAGGCCATCGCTGTTACTAGTAACATCCTTGCTCCTAGTAGTGCGGCCAGGAGCCCCGATCGTAGCGTCCTTGTTACTAATATGAGAACGGGCTTTTTAAAAAAGAACTTGCCGCCAAGGAAGAACAAGTTCTCCGCACTGATGGGGAGTGACGATGAGGATGACGATGAGGATTGAATTGGGCACCAGAGACTTGGATTGCACTTGGGTTGTCTTGAGTCGGGCGATTTTTCGTTTGCTCCTTTGGCTGCAGCTGCTTTTTGGACATCCCGTTGATCCGGGCCACAATGTCGTGAGAGGATAGAAGTGCTGCGATGGGGGACTAAGAGAATGTCGACGCAGCTGAACCGCGCTGGAGCAGAGAAAGCTCTGGTAAGTCGTTCTGCAGGGGGATGAGCCCTCGGGCTGGGACACTTAGCATTTACAGCACTTAAACAAGCCAAACATGAACCTTGCACGAAACCTCGCTGCACCTAAACCTTACCTAAACGTGATAAACATACCATCCAACATTTAAAGCATGTCGTACAATATGTCACAAACATGTCAAGTCAGGCCGCGATTTTGTTCAACGCCCGAGTCAAAGAATCGAGCTGAAGCTGAAAGCTTTGGAACTCTTGGAATGTCTAGACTCGTGAAGCAACGCTGCGCATGCAAAAGAGTTGCTGGATGTGTTTTGAACGGTGTGATCATTATTGTCAATCTTGGTGAAGGCTGATCCCGCCGCTTTGATAGTTGGCCCAAACCAGGCAGAACATGCCATCATCCGTTGTCCCTGAGAGATGCCACTGCCTCTGGCTTTCCAGACATTACGGATCAGGGGAGGTCGCATGACATGAGCCGGCAAGGTGCGACTGCATGTCGATGCCTCAGTCAGATTTCCTGCGTCTCAATTGAGCCGTGCTCGGTCATGCCTTTTTTGATGTCCGACAATCTTCCGAAAAGCGAGCATGCAATGAGGATTTGGGCTGCAATCTCAGTGGGGAAGTGGAAGCAGCAACGAGGAGGAGCTGAAGCCAAGAGCCGCAACCGAGGTTGCAGCTGGAGTGGTTCTAGTCGCTGTTGCTGTGCAGGGCCCTAGGTTCACTCACCAAGAAGTGGGTACAAAAACGAGAAAAACGTTATTTCCAAAGGTCTCTGGTTCGACGTGCTGGACTCTTTGGATTGCTCACAAAGCACAGGCATGTCGCTCTGGCTCCTCAGCTTGTGAAAGCATTTTTGGAGATTTGTAGACATTGAGCAACGCAAGCAGTGTCATGGTTTTTGCTTTAGACGTGTGCTTGAGGTTGTTGCTCACCCAGATGATGAGGCGAATCTCGAAAGATTCTACGAGTCACTCCGCCACATACACACACACACAAACAACATATGAATCAATATGACATGATACACATATACACACACACATAAATACATAAATATATACTGTAAATAAATAAATTGATTTGAGTTTCAGACCCTCATAAACATGAGTGGTACCCTGGTTACTTTTGGCTCAAGTAAATAGGAGCGTTGCTACTTTCTGTTCATGGTAGCGGAGCGCTCGGTGCGACTCCGGTAGATGTTCACCCTTTGGGAAACCCTTCGGACTCGGTTGTGCCAGCGAAGGGATCAGGCTGCTGTGAGGGTACTGAGGTTGTGGCGTCGGTTGATTAACCGGCTGTTCAGGATTCGGAGGCTTCAACGCATCTTCGGATACCTGGGACATCATCTCCAAGACCTGATTGCCAGTCAGGCATTCAGGCAACGGCTGTTGAATTCTCGGTTGACTCGACCGGAGCAGCTGATCAGTAATGGCCACCCTCGAGCAGATCGCGGCCCAGCTGGTGACCTTGAGGAATGAGTTGAATGAGAGTCGAAGGAGAGAAGAGGACTTGAACAACAGGCTTCAAGCGGTTCAGAGCACAGGGGCTATGCAGGCAGCTTTGCAGGAGATGGTCAACACGCAGAAGGCCATCCTGAAAGCGTCCAAGAAGCCAGATAAGAAGTTGACTCTGGTGGACAACCGCGGTTTGGCAAAGCCAAGCAACTTTGATGGTAACTCGGATTTCCTCCAATGGAAGATCCGGTTGGAAGCTTTTGTTGAGTCCGTTCACGGTGACTTCGGCCAAGCGATGGCTTGGGCAGAAGACGAAACAGATCCAATCAGCAACGCATCCATGAATGCCGAGTTTGGTGAGACTACTCCGGCACAGGAGACAATACCAGACCTGGAATCAAAAGATGCACAACTTTACGCTGTTCTCCAGACCCTTTGCGAGAAAGAGGCGTTCACGCTCGTGAGAAGCGCAGGCAAAGGTAAAGGCTTAGAGGCTTGGAGGCGACTGTGCAAGCGGTTCGATCCTTCGACTGGAGGTCGTCGGAGGGCACTGCTTCGTTCGGTGCTGAGTCCGAACCGTTGCAACAAGGTTGAGGAGTTGAGCGCAGCTGTCGAGAACTGGGAAGACCAGGTTCGACAATACGAGAATCGGCGAAAGGCTGATGGCTCGAGACCAACTTTGGATGAGGACATTAAGATCTCCATCTTGGAGTCTATTTGTCCGGTTGAGGTTGAACGACATCTTCAACTCAACCAAGCACGCTTTGCAGACTATCTTGAAGTCCGGAAGGAACTCTCCACGTATTTGGAGACGCGCATTGGACTGAAGCTCAAGTCCGGTGGCGGTCATTCCAGTTCGGACTACAATGGGCCACAGCCCATGGACATAGGTGCACTTGCAGGCGGAGACAAGAAGAAGAGTGCCACCTGCCACAATTGTAGTAAGCTCGGACACTTCAAATCCGAGTGTTGGGCCCCCGGTGGAGGCAAGGCGAATTCCAAAGGGACTTCAAAAGGTAAAGGACCGAAGGGCAGTCCGCCCTCCGGACCAAAAGGCTCAAAAGGTTCCCCGAAAGGTAAAGGAGGCAGCAAAGGAGGAGGCAAGAAAGGAGGAAAGAAAGGAAGCGGAAAAGGAAAAGGCAAAGGAGGAAAAGCCATAGGAAGTGTCGAGGCTGAGAAGGAACCAGAAGGTGAGGAGCAGGCTGGATCGTGGGACGCCGCCGGTTGGGACGAAGGGGACTCGGGTTGGT